AGTGACACTCAAAGCCTGCTCGCTGGAAGCTACAATTTCCAACCCCACGAGGTGGAAGTGTTTTATCAGACTTATAAAAACTAATGTTGTTGCCAAATTTAGTTCTGCGAACGTTTATAGCTTTGAAATAAATAATCAGTGACTTGTAGTTATCGGAGGCAACCAGTTTATTCAAGCTTGTAAAATCCCAGAATCTAACGTATTGCTTGTAAGCAGTAATTGAAATAATTGGTTGGGCAAGAGTAAATAATACATTGTGTTAAGGAAGGGCTTGGTAATCTTTTTTGCTTTGAGATACTGCAGTAACTATGGGGAACTGGAACAGTGTTCGTTGGTAAGCGGCTAAATATGGAGCAAGTGACACTCAAAGCCTGCTCGCTGGAAGCTACAATTTCCAACCCTACGAGGTGGAAGTTTTTTATCAGACTTACCAAAGCTAATGTACGCTAAGTTTTTTCTGCGAAAGTTTAAATATTTTGATCAGTCATAGCATCAGATCTAATTAGAGCCAATCATTTTATTGAAATTTGTAAATTCCCAGTTGCAAACTCTGTGCTTTTTTAATACCCCTGCTTAGGCTTTTAGTTGTTACAGAATTGAAATAAATACCTACGTCGGATATATAACCACGGTAACTTTTTGGTTAATAATTGCCCTTTTTGGAACTATGACACTGTACGGTGGACAGGAAGAGATTTTGTTGCCAAAGTTGATACGTTATATATTAAGGTACTGGTATTTAAGAGAAAGAAGGGTTTAGTTTCAAAAGGAACTGTGGTGTTACGTCGGTTGGGAGTGAAACCGCACAACGATTTGGCTTTATCAACTGAGTTTATGGTGTCCATTACCACCATAAAAAAGCTTTGCAATCTTTTAACAATGGCAAATTGACTTCAACTGATGAAACCAACATTTAATTAACCTTCGGTAGCGCTATCCACCGGATAAATCACAGGCCATCGGATAAGTATTTAGGGAAACCCATTTTGTCATCCACCAGGCCTGGTCATCCTCTGGATAGAAATTTATCCCCTGAGTGGATAGCGACATCCACCTTTTCAAAACCTGGGGCAAAAAGTCTGGCAAACGATCTTTCGGTGAAATTTTACTACTTTCATCTGTTGTTTCTCCCTTCGCGATTTTGATTAGCGCTTATAATTCAAGGAATTCTAAAGAAGGATTTTAATACTGCACACACATTCTGCGCATTTTAGTGACGGGTCCAAAGTAATCCTAGGATTTTAAGAATTGTGCTTTCTAAATAAGTTGACCAATCAGATTACAAGTAAATAACCGTACATTCTAAGAAAGTTGGTGGTGGGCCAATCAGCATATCGTCAAAAAACAATAAGTTGCACGAAGCACAAAATTTACTAGTAAATATTGATAGCAAACGTTTTTCAAGAAAGCAAACCAGACAATGTTTTTTTGTTCCAAATTTTACATATAACACCGAAGAGACAAATTTGTTTGACACAACTGAGCTGTTATTTTGTCATCTACCAGCAATTTCTTCGCCACCTCAAGTCAAAAACTTAACTAACGTTTACGTTGTTCACCTGTGTCATTCACTCTAACGGACCTCTCAGGAAACGGGCTTTCTTCAGTGGGGTCAAAAGATCACGTCTTTAGGTTGTAACTGGTTGATTTCGATCCATGTTATTTATTTCGATTATGATTGACAGCTAACTTTCTCGGAATGTATTGTTATTCTCCTGCAATCCGATTGGTCAGCTTTGTATAGGTGACCCCGGTGAAAGTAATCGCACTGTAATTCAATCAGGGAAGAAACGGAGAATTACCATGCATATAGCTTCCTTTTGCCTGAAAATTGCCACTAGCTTCTATATATTCCTTTTTAGTGCTCCCTTCAAAAGTTTTCTTTGACGATATCCGTAGAGCTAATCCGTTTTCTCCCATGGCCAATAGTCGGCTTTACTTAATTCCGTCCGTCTTGTATGTTCACGATTTGCTCACAAATTCCCTTAGTTTGTATTTGGAAATCCCAAAACAATGCCAGCAATACTTAATTTTATGACAGAACCCAAACTATGACTATATACCGTTTTCCAAAAAAAACTGGTAAAAAGTGTTAGAACACACAGTTTCTAGAGGCTGAGCCTCTTAATGTTTAAACAGCTAGGCTTTATTCTAACTCTTTGACGTCCGCTTTGGTCGTTTTTGGTCCAGATGGTAATTAGCAAAATCAGCGAGCAGATAGATCTTTCCACTGGTACATCATTTAGTAAATTTTGACCAATCCTGACAGAGATACAGACAAAAACAAGCAACATTTGGGGAAAAAACTGCTATTTACCTACCACTTCCTACAGATTAAGTTTGTACAAACATGTCCTTTTGGTGGAGAGAAAACCATCCAAAACGTCATGGGAAAGAAAGACAATAAAGTGGACAACAAAACTGTCTATAAAGAGAAAGGCAAAGGAGAAAAGGCAGAGAGCAAGAAAAAAAATCGAAATAGATTCGCCCAGAAATCAAGTCCAAATTTTGGTTCCTGCGCATGCGCGTAAAACAAAAGAAAGCAGCCCAATTAAATCCAATTAGCAGATAATTATGTTCTTTGTGTTTGAAATCTCTTTTTAGTCATTCCCATGCTAACTGACCGGAAAACGGTTCAAAAAGGAGGATTTGGTCCAAAATGCATTTTTCCCTAAAATTGGCAGACGGCAAAGGGTAGGAACTGACAAGAAGTCCGAGGACAAGAGTTTAGTCCAGAAGGCACTCTCTTTAAGAGAACAAAAATGAAAGAAAGAAGACTGAGGGGTGTTAAAAGCGGATAACTGCAGCTAGTAATTTTAAACAAAACCGAATGCAAGGCTGGCAGTACGGCAAAGGGCTGATATATTATGGGCCAATATTTTCGGCTAGTTTACTTTAGGGCCAGAGCTATACCAAGAAAAAATATTTTTAACGGCTCCTAAAATTTAAAATTTGAGTTTTAAATTTTAAAATGAGCTTAAGCTGATATGACATATCCAGGAAGAAGGTACTAAAAGCTAAGTACTGATTTTTATAAACATTACTAAACAAGTTCACGCCTATATGATTGAAGGCGATACTTGGTTTGAAGGGCACTGAGCCAGCTAGAGAGGATTTTTTTAAACTAGACTTTAAATTCCGGCCGTCTTCACGTCGTAGTGAGGAGCAATACGTAGGTTGAGTATTATCGCCCAGGAGAACGTAGTCTGAATAGGACTGTGGTTGACAGTGACTGACGTTTCGACAACCGGCGCGGTATTCATCTTCAGGGTCAAATTGAGTTGTAAAATACCATCAAAATACCATCAACTGACTCTGGTTATAGGCCTGATTGGTCAATTAAGTGGCGATGTTATTGGACGATCATACTCAAGATCAAGACCTATTTATGAAATGACTCCTAGGTTCAAACTGTTCACAGTTAAAAAGCAATAATTACAAAAAATATAAGGAAGTTACTATGAGAACGTTCATTTTTTGTTGACGTGATAAAAGATTCGAAACAATTTACGTTTCAAGCTCTTTTTATGAATATGATATAATGATTCCTGTACTTCGTTCATGAAAAGAGAAAAGTACTTAATGCTAAGTTACAAAGTCAATTAACATGGTTATATGTGAAAAACTAAGCAGTCCAGTACATAAACTGATAGGATTCATCATAAGGAGACTGGGTGACTTCCCAAGGTAGCTCAAGGTCGCAACTAAACGACAACAAATGCCAGTTGCTATGTCCCTATCTTGAACTGATTTCTAACAGCTTTAAAGGAACTGTTCAACAGTCCTACAGGAAGAATATGATATATTTAACAATCGACGTGTTGGTTTCAACCACGAGCCAATAGTATTATTTGACTAGCTTTTAGCTAAGTCTTCCGTTTCGTGTAAGGCGGGACTTATTCGTCAACAATTCCTCACGTAGTACACTCTGGACACATTGGCAGCTATGTAGCTTGATGTAAAGCTTAGCTTTCGTTAATCAAATTTCACAAAAAAACTGAATTCTAGATTAATCTGTATGGTTGGTGTAATTTAGTTGATAAGATGATGAAACGTTAAAAAAAAATTATTAGTAGCGATGCACTGAGGTTTTCATGGTAGTTTTCAAGACAAAGTCAGGCCGATGTTAATTGAAGATGACATTTAATGGAAAAATACAGTAATTGACTTTTGAAGGAAGCATTACGCCAAGGCATGTTTGGCACGTTTAGGTTCTGAAGCAAGCTGATTCCTTGTTGTCTGAGGAACTAGCTGGAACTCATTTAGCTAAACATGCATAATATTAAATTATATATTCCCCAACGACCCAGTTTGTTAACTAAACACAACAAAGCACTCTGCACTGCACCATGGAGCCAGAAAAATCCCGAGGCAACCGTCTCTTAGTATTTGCCCTGTTAATCAACTTAATTTTGACCATAACGTCTGTCGGAACCGTAATTTACAAACTGCAGCTATTGGAAAGACAAGTCTTACAGCTTCAGTCAAGGCCATCGGTGGCTTTGCAAGGTAAAACCAATAGCAATGGCGATGACGAAGAAGGCGAGCTAATACAACGACGGAGAAGGGAGTATGAGTTTTCTGGAGATGGAGCTAAAAGCTGCGTCAGCTGCCACAATGCTTGCATGCAACTCTTTGGTTTGGGAGCATCTGCGAAGGTATGTCTATTGAGCTTACCTATTTAATATCTTATAGTCAACCATGCATGGTCGTGTTGCCTATACTCAACTAATTTGCAAGCAAGCCTGTGGGTTGAATCCGTGGCCAATGACCAATGCTAAAATAAAAGGTTCCCATTGAGCGCAGGACCGTTTTAAGCACATGTGGTTGCACACGCTGCGAATGTTCTAGCACTGTCAAGTCTTGCGCAATTGAACTAAGTTCGTCATCATTCCTTATTGCACTGGTTTGTCAGCGTTTTGTGAGATTTTCTTCAGCTTTTTTCTAGCTGCTATTGTTATTGATTTTATTAAAACAGCAAATAACTGTAGACCTTTACTTTCGATGATCATTTTATCAGCTCAATACAGAGCTTCCAAGAAAATGAATACGAAGCTTGAAATTGGTGTGTGTGACCAATAGGGTGATGATCCAATGTATCTGATATTATTGGCTCCTTGGACTCAAATGCACAATCTCCTTTTGCGAAACTTTATTTCTTCCTATATTGTCTCATTTTCCTAGTCTTCCAGTCAGCCCCAGTCGTTTTTTGCCGAGTATTAACCGGATATTTACTGATCCAGATCTACTGACCAAAGATTCGATATTGTACGTCGACGTGATTTTCCCCTTATCAGAACTTTTTGCCTTGCGCTATCTACATCACTTCGCAGAAGGCTATTTTTACACAGGCTTGCGTGTTTGCCATTATTCTGAGATACAAGGCAGCTACTAAATTTTGGAGCAACAATCTTGCTATTAACGATATTTACGGCTATTGCCTAATTGGCAGGTCACGCGATTAACTAAGAGCTGTCTATTTGGGTCAAATTGAGTTTTACAAAAACAGGAAACCTATCACTTTTTTCTTCTATTATTTTATTCTGTGCTAGATCACAGTAAAAGCAGCAAGCAATGGTACAGAAAAAGACGTAGTCTGCATGAGAGGTGAGAAATTTGACTGAAAATGTTAATGTTAACGTCAAACAAGTGCATTGAAGAAATGACGTCCACTGCTATCCTTTTGTTTAAAGACATATAGACTGCTTGCAGTCCGCCTTTCTCTTAAAATCCCTCTAGTTCTTATCTCATCCAGCGCGATTGCAAACCACGACGTTATTATTACAATAAGGGTAAGGGACCAGACGCGAAAAGACGGACTGCTGACTCTTTTGAAGTAAACAAACCCTCCGTCAGCCCAGAAACGGAGTAACCGATTGGTCAGTTGCACAGTTGTTGACAGATAATTGACTGGCCTGTGGTGAGATTGCAAGCAATAAAAACAGTCACGCGTCACAACCAACTGCAAACAATAGCGAACCAAGCAGTAATCTCAGTAATAAAATTTCTAAGGATATCTTACAGAAGGAAACTGCTGTAAACTTCCTCAAGGGAAACGAATTCAAGGCAATCTTACCAGATTTTAAGAAAGTGTAATTTTTTTAGTTGTTTTTGTTCTATTTATAAATCGTTTCAAGTTACTCGGGTTTAATTGATTAATTAAATTACCTTGACAGCTTGCTTGTCCCCAGACAAAACAAAAGAGTCAGCAGTCTCTTATTTTTTCTTCTCGGGCTTACGCCCTCGTTTCTCGCGGATCGAGGCTTTGCCGCTCGCGTGCTTAGGTTCCGCGTACAGTAACTTTGCAAAGAAAAATAAGAGACTGCTTGCAGTCTAAAAGACATACAGCTATTAAGATTAACCGGGTTCTACTAAAGGCAGCGGCGGATACAGGGGAGGGCCCCTCACCCCCACTCCCTTATCTTTAGACCAAACTGAGGCCCCTAACCCCCCCCCCCCCCCCCCCCCCCCTCTTTTTAAGGCCAAATCACCCCCCCAAAAAGACACCCTCTTTTTTTTTCAAGCAGGTATTAAGAGTCTTCTCTAATTCTTTTCTTTACAAAAAAAAAATAAAAAACCCACCCTTACAGGAACGTCACTTTTTTGAAAAAAATTTTTAGATGTGGGAA